TGGGACCTGGGGGCGCCCTGAGGAGGGGCCCCGGCCCGACCCCGACCCCGCCTGCCGGTTTCTGGGAGCCGGGTTTGCAGCCCGGGAGCCCGCGCCCGGGCGTGCCTTCAGAGAGAGGAGCCCCTTGTTGCACCCGGGAAGTAGGGGGCGGGCCCTGCGGGGGCTAGCCAGGGCTGACCTTCCGATGGGGCTGCGCCTGCACACCTGGGCAACACCCCTACACATGGGTTGCACCCCACACGTGAGCTGCACCTCTAGTTGGCCAAGCTCTGTAGGTTGCCCCCTGGAACTCCCACCTAGGTTGTGCCCTCCTGAGACAGGGCCCCAGTGGGGTGCACTCCTGATACCTGTCCCTTCATGGGCTCTCTCCCTGATGGACTTCCTTTCCAATAGCTGTACCCCCATGGGCAGCACCCCCCACATGACATGACAGCTCCCCGGCTCTAGGAACAAATTATGGCCCCTCCCTCCATCCTCTTTCCCACACTGTGTTCCCCCCACCCCACCCCACCCCCTGGTGGCACTTTGTGGGACCCCTGTGAGTGGATAAGCAGGGGTTTCCGAGTGTCCGTCCAGGAGCCGTACGTCTGTGGAAGAAGAGGTGTAGTTGGAATGTTCCACAAGTAGTGGGGAGAGGCGGTGAACCCCCCATCCCACTTGCTCCAGGGGGTGCTTTCAGCTACACCCAAAACAGGAGGAAAGAGCTGGGGAGATAGGGCACTCAAGCAAAGACCCAGAGGGGTCTGCTGAGGCCAGGGGAGCACTTTGAAGAGGCGTGGGGAGGGCTGCTTTGGGAGGTTGAGGGGAGATGTTTTTAGGGGCAGCAGGGATGATGGAGAAGGAGGAGGTGTTCAGCCTGTGTCCATGGGCAGGTCATTCTCCAGAAGATTCCTTGGCTGGAGATAGGTTCCTGAGAACTGACCGACAGAATTAGGCTCAGTGGTCACAAAACTCCCAGGAACATAGGGATTTAAGCCTGGAATCCCCATGGTCACTTCTTTGGACCAGGTTCCCGCTCTTTGGACTCAGGGCTATGGGTGGGACAGGAGCCTGAGTCCAGAGGGAGACCTGAGTGGTGGCCCTGCTTGTGCTCCCCTGTCCTGTGTCCATACCCCTCCTTCCCCAGGAAGGCTCTGCAGCCCCTGGGGCTCCAGAAGAGGAAAGCAGAGCCTTGTCAGTGTTGATGAGCGGTGACCTATCAGGGAGGCCAGGGGCCTGCCAGGTGCCAGTGAAACCTAGGGCAGGCAGAAGCACTCACGTCCACCTTGGCCCTGAAACAGGTGTGGGGGCAGGTGAGCACTGCTTCTCAAGCTCCTGTGGTAGCCACTGGTGGTGGTCACCCTTTCCTGTGGCCTCTGGTTCTCTGCTCCCGTGTGGGGCGGCTCTCCCTGTTCAGCCTGCCCACCCTGTTGGCCTCACTCTCAGTATGCCTGAGCTAGCTGTCTTTTGAGTGAGGGACCACAGGGGTCTCAGGTGGGGGCTCCACAGGGCTGGACCCTGTCCTGTAGGAGGAGGAGGGCCTTGGGGGGTGGGGGGCGGGAGACAGGAGGGTCTTTGTGCCAGAGCAGCGCTGGCCCTCCCTGAGCCCGCCCTCGGCCCACCAGGCTGTGGTGCTTGTGCTCGGTGTTCATATTTTTTTAGTAGAAACTTCTTATTTACCTTTTTTTTCCCCCTTCATTTACCTTTTATCAGCTTAAAAAAAATTTTTTTTAATGGAGGTGAGTGTGAAGCCCCAGTTAATGAATTCATTAGACTGGCCAGGGTGAGACACACCCGGACTCAAAGGCAGTTAGCCCTTTAGTTAAGTCCACGGTAGGTTGACATCTGAGATGTCTGAGCCATTCCCTTGGTATTTGGGAACTACTACTGTATCCCCACAGAGGGCAAACCTTTTTTCAACTTTTTGTTGTGGACCAGGTGGGGTTTACATGTCACAGCATCCTTTTCGCATTCAGCAAACAACTTTAACAAACCGCCCCATGGCGTGACCCCTCCCGATCTTGCTTCTGCCTTGAAGATGTGGTTGCCCCTTCACCCGAGTCTGCGCCTGTCCACCCTCTGTCCACCCTCGAGTCTGCGCCTGTCCACCCTCGTCTGTGCTGTTGCTTCCCCCCTCCCCCTCCCCCTCCGGTCACCTTCAAAGGCCGCTTCTTGGTGGGAAAACCTTCATCTGGACTTTCTTTTTAAACAACAGCAGTCCCAGAGTGCCTGTCCTCTGGAGATTGACCAACAGCCCCAGCGGCCAGTGACCAAACACACCTTTTCCCCATGTGCTTGTTGGCTGCTTGAACGACTTCTTCCGTCGACTGCCTGTCCATCCTCTGCCCATTCCTGAATGGAGTCACTCAGCTTCTTGTTGGAGTGTTGGAGCTTTCTGTAGTTCCAGAGATCCGCCACATGGGGTGTCATTGCCGGGGTGCTTCCTCACTGTGGGTTCCCCTTTAGCGCTTTCTGAAATCGTAATGATGCACCTAAGTGTCTTATTTTCAGGAGGCCCCGGCCGTCTTTTCTGGCGCGCGTTCAGACCAGGTGTGAAGGCCCCAACGTTTGTCCCTGTCTTATCCCCAGGGATCTTGACAGTTTGTTCTGGGGTTTGCCCTTATGGGTCCTGTTTCATTCTTCTGCAAACGGAAACCCAGTGTTGGCAGCGCCATTTGTTGATGAGCCCGTCTCTCCCTCACGTGCTGTGTTTCAGGCTCCATCAACAATCGGTGGATCTCTGGGCGTTCTGTTACGGTCCAGTTGGCCGAGTGCCTGCCTTTGTCCTGGCTTCAAGCTGTTTGTTTGTTTGTTTGTACCTGTGTGAGCTTTGCCTTCACCTCCTCCCGAGCCCTAGCGTTTGCTTCTGGGCTGTCTCTTGTTTCTGTGCAGCCTCCTCTCTGGTGTAGGGACAGTCTTCCTTCTCAAGGGGCTCGATCCAACCTGGACCTCTGCTTATCCAGGGGCTCATCTGGGGGTGTTGTCCACCTGGAGGTGCTCGATGGCCAGGGACCCCACATCGGAGTCCTCTGCATGCAGCAGCACGCACAACAAACACTCAGCACCCCTTCTGGACCACCGAGCCTGGCTCCAGCCCCACTGTCTGGCCTGGGCACATCCACCTCCGCCTGAAGGGCACACGCTCTGCAAGGTGGCATCCGGCAGACACTTGGTGGCCTTCCAGATACACAGACCCTTGATGGCCTGGGCAGCTGCACAGGTGTTCTTAAAATGCATCTGAAGATCCCACCCTATTGATTTGCTTGATTTTGTGGGGTTTTCTGGGTCAGGTGAGTAGTGAGCCCTGTTGGTGGACTCCACCCCATCCCACCCCCAACACTCAGGCCACCACGGGTGAGCCGGTGGCACCGGCTGGTGGACCCTGGTGTTGGCCGGGGGGTGGGGGCCGGGAAGGGAGGCCTCCCACTTGTTCTTTATTTGTGCCCTGCTTCTCCTGGGCCTTTCCTCTCCTTATAAGGTCAGGGCTCGTTTGCCATCTCTTTCCAGAATGACGCTGGGACAGAGATCCCTTTGACTCTGAGGAAGAAAGGCCCTTATAAAGCACCAGCAGGTTGGGCAGACAGCTTTGGGGAAAACTACAGTCGTTCCATTTCCTGCTTTTTCAAACAGTACGATTTCATCTGCCGGCTGGCCGAGTTAAACACGCAAGCAGAGCCCCCAGCGTTGCTTTGGTCCTTGCCTGTGCGGGGCTCCAGGGGGCCTGCCCCCCGGCCCCCATCTTCAGGACAGGCCCCCAGAAGCACAAGCCAGTGCCACTGGGGCTGGGGGTGAGGTGGGCTGGCTCCCCCCCAACACACACCGCACATTGCCCACAGTCAGAGCGCACAACTATGTGGGTGACAGGCCGCTGGGCCCTGTGTGGCATGTCCTATGAGCAACCCCCACCTCAGACCTCAGCTGCCATGTGGGCTGGGTGGCGGCAGGGGGCGATCTTGTACAGCGCAGACTGTCGGGCTGGGGTGGGTTGAGGCCTCATAGCAGATGACACGCTAGGTCAGCGGGGCTGGACCAGGGGCTCGGTGGCTGAAGGGCCTGGGTTGTGACCAGCTGGTGATGGGCAGCAGTGGGTGGGGTGGGGGGTGGGGGGGCGGGATTCGGGCTGGAGCCCGTGTTGGGTGCAGATACGCCAGGCTGGGTGTGTGTGTGTGTGGGTGCGGGGGTTGCCCAGAGACCCCAGGTCAGCTGGCTGGAGCCTCTCTCCTTCAGCACCCCTGGGCCGAAGAAGACCGGCTGCGCTTGGCCTGGCAGTGAGGGTGAAGCAGACGGGGTGTCAGAATGTGGGGTGCTAGCCAACACGGAGCGTACAGATGTGGGTTGTAGATGGAGGGCACAGCTGGGCGCACTGACATGGGTGCAACCTCACTGGTGAGCACTTCCCTTCTGCTTCCTGGTAAGGAGGGTGGAGACGGGCATGGCGCAGGCCTGAGGTTGCAGGGGTGCCGAGGGCGGGACTGTGATGAGCATGTGGGACCACTGGTCTGAGAGGAGTTTCCCTGGGCTCTGGTGCCTACTGGGCATGGGCTGAGGGGAGAGCCAGCAGGTAGGGCCCCTGGGAGCCTCGCCTCTGAGTCCTGCTGACGGCTCACTCCCACCCATTCAACACAGGGAGGGGTGGCAAGTCTGGTCCCCTGAGCCTGTGGGAGGAGCCCCAGAGCCCTACCTATCAACCTGCTCCTGTCCCGCTGCGTCCAGCCTTTCTGGGTCCCCTGGGCAGGGGTCCTTTGTGCTGAAAGCCTCCCAACGTCTGTCTCCCACCCGCAGCGTGCGCTGCCCCACTCTGGGGTCAGGTCTGGTTCAGGACCAGCCTGGCAGCCAGCTGCGTGGCCGTGTCTGTCTGTCCTCAGCCCAGCAGGGCACCCTGGGCAGCTGGCCTGAGAGAGTGAGAGTGTCTTAGGCTAAAAGTAGACCCCCTCACCCCCCTCCCACCAGGGCTGTTGAAGTCCCCAGACTAGTGACCAGGTGACCTGGCAGCACCCCCGTCCCCCGACCCTGTCCCTTAGCAGCACCCCCATCCCCCTTCATTAGGCTTCTCACTACAGACAGGAAGTGGTTGCCCACCCATGCCCATTAGGGGCAGGAAGGGTCTCACTGGCCAGCAGCCCTCCAGTGGCCTGTGCCACAGCCAGGCTTAGCCCCCTTGCCCTCCCCCCTGCCCAGGCTCCGGTAGGCAGGCGACTGGAGCCAGCTCACGGGGAGGGGGTGTCTGCACCTTGCACGGCCTCAGCCTGGCCTTTGTTTCAGGGCCAAGGGGACCGGGCAGCCAGGACCAGACGTCCCAGCAATGACCAGGTAGGTCTCGGGGTGGTGTGGGCACATGTGTGGGGGCTGGGCCAGGGCTCCCTGTGTTCACCCCCCAGCTCTCCTGTCTCCAGAGTCCTGTACAACGGCCGGCGGAGCAGCAGCCCCCGCTCGCCGCCCCACAGCAGCGAGATCTTCACACCAGCCCACGAAGAGAATGTCCGCTTCATCTACGAAGGTGGGGTAGTTGGGGAAGCAGGGGGCTGTGGGGAAGAAGGTGGGGGCAAAGCCAGGGGGGCCTGCCCAGCAGAGCCCGCAGGGCAGGGGCGGGATGCTCTTCTATGTGTTCTGTCACCCAGGGAGCTGCAGGGTGGGGGTCTGGGAAAGTGGGCCGCCCTGACTCTCCCTCCGCCCCCGAAGCCTGGCAAGGTGTGGAGCGAGACCTGCGCAGCCAGCTGTCGGGCAGCGAGCGGGGCCTGGTGGAGGAATATGTGGAGAAGGTCCCCAACCCTGGCCTGAAGAGTGAGTGGGGCTCAGGGGCCTAGACGCAGGGCCTTGGGGCACCCCAGCCGGCCCCTCACTGTGTCCCCCCGCCCCAGCCTTCAAGCCCATCGACCTGAGTGGTCTGCGACGCGGGAGCATGCAGGACCCCAAGAAATCCTAAGGCCCTGCTTCGAGCGACAGCCCCTCTGTCTCCAGCTGCCCCATTCCTGGGGGTCCTGGGCCTGCAGCCCTGCCCCACCCCCAGCCCCTCTGCTTCTGGCTGGCCACTTGGGCCAGCTGTGAGACGGGCAGCCACGCACCC